GCACCAAGGGAGTGGCACTCCAATTTCGTTGTACTTTGTACAATGACAATAAAGGCTATTCTATTCTATTCTATTCTAAGTTATCAAGAATTTCTTGAACAGGTCATCTGGCTTTTCATTTAAGTAGACACAGACAGCTTTTAGAACGCATTCGCGTCGAACATCAACGCTGGTATTCTGGTGGAGATAAGAACTCAATGTGAGACAAGATTTTGGTTCTTTTCCACCTCTTTTCAAAACAAAGTCAAAAATATTAACAGATGAGTGATTAGCAATGAGTAATTAAGCAATGTTTGACAACTCACATTAGTGACATTCAGTGAGCTTAATGATTGATAAGGCACTGACTCTTCTGAGTCAGATGAACAAATATATGAACATAAAACTAGAAGCTTTTCAATTTTGACAATACGTGAAAGCTTTCAATTTTACTTTAATCAATTCTAAACTGCTCAACAATATAACTTCTTAATTGTACACCTAAAAATATTAAAATTAAATAAAAGATTAGAACTGGGCAATATGGACTCAAAATCCTATCACAATATTTTCTGGTATTTATTACGATAACAATAAAAGATAACCACAACCACATCTGAGCCACTTGCATCTATTGACAGACAGAACTAGCTGACCAACATAAAATGAATGGGGAACACACAAATTGTCACTTTGATATTCAATGGAAACTTATACAAGGAGTTAAATGCATTACATATAATGTAACTGTATTACACATAATGCCGCACTATTTTATTTTATTCTATTCTATTGTGTACAGTTGTGTGCAGTATCGTATTCTTATCTTATTCCAGTGTTTTTTCTAATTTTGCTATGTAACTTTGCACTGTCCACTTCTGCTCTAACAAAACAAATTATCTTATCTTTAATGACAAAAGATAAATGCATGTCTTACACAACACGAGGTAGAATTACTTCAAACAATGTAGCAACTTTTTTGATGCATGTTTCTAAAATACACTATACATATATTTCATTCTTCAAAAGGAAAGGATTGCTGGCGCTCCCGGTGGTCATTACTGACACCAGGGAGCATGCGCAGTAGATGTTGGGAGTAATTTTAAAGCTGCAGTTCTTAGTAAGCAAGTCTCAGCTTAACATGAATCATAAAATCATAAAAAATTTTGGGAAATTACACCAAAGTGGGCCCAATAATGTTTGTTAAATGCCTGTATACTCACAAGGTAGAGTGTTAAAAAAATTACCAGACATAATTTGTTTGAAAATAAAAAATGCAGAAGTACTCCCGAAAGTGTTGGATGTTTATCATTTAGTATACATTAACCAAATTTGTCATCCTTAAATTGTTGTACTTACCAAATAATCCTCAAATGGCGATGAATTACATCCAGGCTACTGAGCACGATGCAAGTCTCGGTTGAAAATGGCGGTTGTTCAAATTTCCACATTGCACATGTGCAAACTGAAAAGTTCAGAGAGCCTATAATAATATATTATATAATCCTCTTCAAAAAAAAAAAGTGCTGTTCATTTTAAATGAACTTTTTACTTTGGATTCAATGTACTGCATTTTGTTGTATTGAAATATTGTGTTGTTAATTAAATTCAAAACAATATCCTTGTGTTTAGAGTTAAAAATCGGTGAAATTAATTTTAACACAAAACAGTTCCATAAAGCTACAAACATCAGTGTATCATTTCTTAGAGTGCAGTAACCATTGTCCTTGATGTAAATATGTAAAAACTGTATGTTTCTGTTCTGTGTCTTGTGTACTGTTTGTTTGTATATGTGTCTTTCTTGCTGCTGTTACATCCAAATTCCCCCTTGTGGGACAATTAAAGGATTATTCTATTCTGTTCTTTACTTAAAAATACATTTGTAACGGCAATGACAGTATTTACCCAGATAAATAAAAGAACAGTCATTTTGCCAACTGATTGCAGCTTTGACTTTGTGACAGGGTGTTCTTTCTACCTAAAAAAGACTTGTTATCATTCATGAGAATAATGTTCATCTTATATTTACACACTACAGCCCAACAAGTCATTTACAACAGTTTAAATTCTTACAAATTCTTCTTTTTTTTTGCAAATACGGGGAATTATTTGTTGGCGCAACACTCCTTCCATGCTATTCCTTCTCTTGCTCTCAACTAACAGGCAATCATAATTAATATTTACATCAGTCAGCTATGTCCTGAGCAGCAAACTAACTGTTATGTTCTGACAGAGCTCCTGTGTTCACTCTCACACTGAAGTCACTCAGCCTCTTAACACTTCTTAAGTCTTCTTTGTTTGTTTGGGTTTTTTTGCCTGTCCCGTTTGGATCTTTAGCCATCAGAATTGTTGTCTGAAGACCAACAAAGATGCCAAGCGGATTTATTTTACCAAGTGGATCATCATGGCCTTGCCATATTGGTCCATTTGATTGACCTTTATTATAATTATGTATTTATTTTATTTTATTTTTGGTTGCTACAAACGGGACAGACATGACTGGGGGATAGGACAGGAAGAAAGAATGAAAGAGAGGGAGAGAAAGAAAACCAGAGAGGAGAAGAGACGGTGAGAAAGGGGGGAAGGAAGAAAGAAAAACAAACAAAACACCTGGATCACCTGTATGGAGAAAAAAAAACAGAAGAGAAAGCAAACAAAAAAAGAGCAACATAATAAAAACAGCACCATCACAATAAACTAGCTAGCAGTAGATAACAGTAGATACTAAATATTAAATGTTATTGTGCAGCATGTAAGATAGACAGCGCACAATGTGCTTTGAGGCAGCAGCAGAGAAAGGTGTAGTCCGCGTCTGTGAACACTCTTGTGTACACCTGTGTGGATCAGCATGCTTGTATTCCAAAGGTTTCTCCATGTAACGATCTGCTAGGGAGGGTGGGGAGCCATAGCCCCGTCCCCCAGGGCATGAAGCAGGTATGGAGGAGATCCAGGCCCCAGATATCCAGAGGCCCCAGAGTACGAGGACCTGAGGAGGACCACCAAAAGGGGGGGAACCATGCCACCTTCCTGGGAAGAGCTGAGCTGAGCCCCAAACGAGAGGTCACCTAGCAGATACGGAGCAGAGGCCAGAGGGAGTTGCAGTGACGTGCCCGCAGGCTCTGCCGGCAGCCAGCTGTGCCAGAGAGGACCGAGCTTCAGGCCCAGAGGCCAGAGGCCTGAGGGCACCCCACCCCCCGGAAGGGGCCCAGCCGGGCCACAGGCGCCAGGCCCCGCCAATCAGCCAACAGGAATGAGTCGGTACATACATGAGCGCCCAGCCCCAGAAACCAAGAACCACCAACACACCAACACACCAATGTCTGAGGGCATCGGCCACCGGCAGGAAGTGTGGTGAGCGGATATACCTCCAAGAGCCTGAGATGTTCCCAGAGAGGTTGAGTCTAAGACCCAACCTGACATATAGACACAGACGAACAGGCGCACGCGGACAAAAACGTGCATTCCCACCCCATATGCACACAAACAAATACTCGGCACTCACCTGACGTGGAGACAAACACAAATAGACACTGTACACACATGCACACTCCCCAAACATACTCTATATCCCAGGTCAAGGTACCCCTGCCCCCAGAGGGGCAAACCGTTCCTAGACCCAGGAGATGTAACCCTTCTCTCTGGGGTGGAGGCAAGCGGACCACCTCCTTATCTGCAGTAGCAGGGAGGCCCCGCATCCCAGACCCCAATCTGACGGCCAGCACCTCCTCCCAGCCCCGACGGTTAAATGAACGGGGGTGAGTGAAGACCCCAAACCTCCCTAGGCCCGCTCATATGTAGTGTTGCTATGTGCTGTTCTAAAGTGCATTTAAAACACAGGAGAGCATGGTTCCTGTTTCCTCTCAGAGAGCAGCACGGGAAAAGGTAGGCAGCTGAGGATGGGGAGGGAAGAAAGGGAGGGGTAAGCGGCCCCTCCCTGGGGCCAGCTCCCCCGCTGAACCCAGTAGACACCCTCATACTCTGCAACCCACCAGGGAAAGGGGGCCCAGGCCCATCCGGACTGGGGCCCGCAGCAGCAGCACCGCCCAGCCCCACAGAGTCCGGGGCAGCCCACCCGACCCCACCACAGAGAAAACTGCACCCACCCCATCATCCAATCATCTCCCAGACTACACAAAACAATGGACACCCTGGTTGAGTTCATTCACCACCTCTCCTATATCTCTCCCCACCTGCAGAGTGAGCTCCTGTAGAGGGGAGACTTCCTGCAAAGATGTAACAGCCTACCCAACAGTTAGAGAGCCCCCTAGTTGGGCCGATGCACCAGAGGTCCCCTGCACCGGGGCTTATTAAGCCTTTTCATTGTGTAGCTTGGTCTTTTAAATAACAGAAATTGATTGTTGTTGCTTATGAACACTGACATATGAATCATTCAAGCAAAAAAAGTCTTACAACCAGCAAATAACCCATTTATTTATAATTCTTTTTCTGAGAATTTATACAGTTCAGGTTTGCTGTGCATTGTGCCAAGATTAGATGACCTAATTATACTTTTCAATTGGATTTGGCAAAGCAGAAATATATGTGATTTTAGCTGAGACCACAATTTTATCACAATCCAGACTTGAAGAGACATTGTTGTGAACTGGTCTGTTCAGAAGAAAAAAACCCACACTGATATGATTTGAGAATAGCCTTTGTGTATCGCGAACTACAGCAAAAAGGACAAATGCTACATTGTTTACATCTTCGAGCTATTCAAATATGATTTGTGGTACAGCAGCAATTCAAAAATCTATTAGAGCAAATTATCCTCGTGGTGTTGAGCTATTTCAGAAACCACATCATGTCTACTCCTCATGCACCGTCACATAGTACATCAAATAAACTTTCTCTTACACGTAAATCTCCAGATGTTAACTGTGCCTTCTGACTTAAGATAATCACAGTAACACGATCAAGCATTAACTATTTGTAAATACGTATTAACAATGTGAAGTTGAAGATAAGACAGGGTGTAGGTAAGAAATTTACATTATTCACTTCTTGCAGTGTGAGTTGAATAAAACACAGCACACAAACAGCTTCACATTTCCAGATCAGAGAGAGAGAAATATTTACAGATCAGCTACACTACCAGTCAAAAGGTTTAGAACAACCCATTGTTTCCAGTTATTTATTGTAATTCAATTCGTTCAAGTCCAATGATCAGCTTGAAATGGTAAAAAGGGAAGTGGTGAACTACCAGAGGTTAAAAACGAAAAAAACGAAACGAACGAAACGAAAAAAAAAAAAAAGTACATTTCAGAATTATATAAAAATGCCTTTTTCAGGGAACACAAAATGGGTTAACAATTTAAAGCTGTTCTGAAGCAATGGAGGCTGATCAAGCCTTGAAAGCTGGTGCTACTAACTCCTACAGGTGTTCCAACTTTTCTGGATTACTTCCAACCCTCTGTCTGCATAAATGCAGTGCTGGAACACACTGTGGTACCACATCCTCATGAGCATCAGTTGAACAGTACTGTACTGTGTACTGTGTGAATGGGTGATGGATGACTGGATGTGTAAACCGCTTTGGGGTCCTTAGGGACTAGTAAAGCGCTATACAAATACACGCCATTTACCATTTACTGCAGAATGCGTGCTGCTACAAAAACGGTGAGAAAAATGTAATTAACAATGGAAGAGAGACAGACCATCATAATACTTAAAAATGTAGGTCTTTCCTATTGAAAAACTGCAAAGAAAATCAAAGTGTCAGTGAGTACAGTTTCCTTTATCATCAAAAGGCACTCAAAAACTGGGGTAAACTCTGACAGGAAGAGGTCTGACAGACCCAAATCAACAACTGAATCAGAGGACAAGTTTCTGAGAGTTAACAGCTTGTGTAATTTGCAGCTAACAGGACAACAGCTTCAGCGAGGACGAGTTGCAGCAAGAAAACTGTTGCTAAGATGTCAGATTAAGACAAAGAGGCTTGCCTGGGCCATGAAACACTGCCACTGGACTACTGAAGACTGAAAGAAGGTATTATGGACTGATGAATCAAAATTCGAAATCTTCAGTTCATCACGTAGGATTTTTGTACGCTGTCGAGTAGGTGAAAGGATGGTTCCACAGTGTGTGGCGTCAAACATGGAGTAGAAAGTGTGATGGTCTGGGGCTGTTTTGCTGGATCCAGAGTCGGTGATTTGTACAGAGTGAGAGGTACCCTGAACCGAAATGGCTACCACAGAATTCTGCAGCACCATGCAGTACCCTCTGATATGCGCCTAGTTTCTCAGGGGTTCATCCTACAGCAAGATAATGACCCAAAACACAAGTCCAAGCTATGTTAGAACTCCCTCAGGAAAAAAGAAGTAGATGGTAACATGAAGTGAAAACATGGAGTGACCAGCAATGTTCCCTCTAATTTTTCACGTGTCTGAGCGAACACACAAACTCCCTGAGCGATCCCTTGGACCACTGTGAGCGACATCAGACGTGTGCACTGTGGTCACGCCAGCATCCATCCAAGTTACATGGTTTATTAAGATAATCAAATTACAGCATTTACATTTATGTTAGACTACTTTTAATTAACTGCTTTAGCCCACTTACAATGAATATTTTAAAAAAATCTTGTTCATGACCTGTGTAGTATGTTAACACTAGGGGAGACCAGGGATAGTTGTAACATTTTTGACATTTCTGTCTGTAAATTGGAGCTCTTCTAAGGTAGTGGATTCAAAATGTAATGCAAAGTATTTACATGTCTCTAGGTTTAAATCTGGGACTCTCCACCATTTGACCTTAGAACTGAAGAAGCTTCTCGGATGAGAGGTGAAACGTCTTCAAGTAACTTAAAG